ATCTCAAAGGCAGTGCCATAGTAAAAAACGTGTAATATTTTAAAAAGTAGAAAATATATATATATATATTCCTTTATTCTTTATTCAACAAAGATGGATGACATAAATAAACATCAAAAAACTTCTGCCCACCTAAAAGGCTTCATATCTTCATGCTATATAAGCTAATGGGGTATATTTTTAATTTGTAAGAAGAATTTTAAATCAAGTGGACAACCACATAATTCCAACCTCATTCATCTAAATTATTTCCTACCACTTATTTTCTAATGGATTTTCTAATGTAATGCCAAATGACTGAACCCTGACTCAGTCCTAACTAGCAAATTATTGCAGCGCTACAGGATTCCATATTTCTGAAACTGGCCAATGTCTATTTCCATACATCCTAGAGATTGTTAACCTAAGAGTCCATTTAAGAGATAAGGTAGCCTAAACATCAGGTGGAATAGTAAAGAGTCACTCACAATAGTGAGAGTCACAAAAACAAAGTCACATAGTTCAAGAATCTTCCAAGTCTTCTCTATAGAACCCTGTGGTTCTTCTGAGCATATTTAAGTGATAACAGATGTTTGACTCTAGTTAGTTAATAATATTTGTTCATGCTCCAGCTCTGGACAAATAGTATTGATTATGCTAGCAGGGAAGGAAGGGTCCAGAATTGTGTTCAGCGGGCAATAAGCAGAATTCAGATGCTTCTTAGAAGTCCTACAGCAAAAGCCCAGCTCTACACAAAAGAATTATGAACCTCTCAGAAGAAATTTTGTGAAATACTGATCTCAGAAGATACTGTTCCATATAGTTTGATGATTTGCAGTTATTCAGACATTTGACATTATATTACAAATGAACATATTAAAGCTTAAAGTGAATGTGTGCTCTGATATCTAAAACCTAATTTTTTAAAGAACTAGAATTAGAATCTGCATCTTTTGGCTTCTAGTACACTATTCTTTCAATTCCATGACAGTTTTGGGATTGATTGTAAATTTCAATTGTCTTTGTCTTTTCAATACTGTATATTGTAAAATAATACCTCATATCCTTTTGGAATTTAGATAGAGTTTATATTAATAAATAGATATTATACTTAGCTGTAAATCAAAAGCTAGTAAAGGAAC